TTGACTGAAATTCCAGAGGGTTGGCCCAAAATGGCTATTTTAGTTCTCTGGTTTTGTTCCAAAAACAGCTCGTTCTGGTCTAAATTCAATCTTTTTTTCATCAAAATTCACCGTTTTCTATCCAAAAGTCACTTTTTTCTGGCACAGATGGGTTAAAAACGGCTTTTTTGTCCTGAAACTGGCCCCTCTCGCTCGAAAAATCAGCTCATTTTTCTCGGAAAATGGTCTGCCAGTTACTTGACAACTACATTTTAAGCTTCAATATCTAGTTTTGGCTCCCAGAAATCATGAAAATGATCGATTTTGCTCAAGAAGCCACCCTTTCTCAATAGTCTAAAATGACATTAAAACCTGGAAATTTGACCGGAATTCCAGAGCTTTTGTCTCAAAATGGTTATTTTTAGTTCTAAAATAGAAATCCAAAGAAAGGCTGGTTTTTTTCTGTCTTAAATTCAATCGTTTTTTTTTCATCAAAATTCACATTTTTCTGTTTCAAATCAGTTCAAAAACGGAGTCTTTTTGTCCTGAAATTGACCCTTTTGGCTCGAAAAATCAGCTCATTTTGCTTTTGAAAACTAGGTTTTTATGCCTCAAAATCTAGTTTCAGCTCTCAGGAATCAAAAAAATGATCTCATTAATGTATCACCCTGAACTTGCCCTCCCAAAACCCACTTATTTCAGAAGCGTCGTTGCCGAATGTCTCGGTCGTCTGTGCTCCTTCGATCCAGAGACTCTCCTGCCAAAACTCAAGGAAAGCATGAAATCCTCTGATCCAGTTATCCGATCGGCAGTCGTCTCCTCCATCAAATACATGATTAACGATGAGAAGCGTTCCGTTGATTCGGCCCTTCAGAAACACATTGGCGACTTCCTCGTTGCCGTTCAAGACGATGATTTGAAGGTTCGACGCGTTGCTTTGGTCGTTTTGAACTCGGCGGCTCACAACAAGCCATCGTTGGTGAGGGATCTCCTTCCAGAGCTCCTTCCAACCATCTACAAAGAGACTATTCTTCGTAAAGAGCTCATCAAGGAGGTCGAAATGGGACCATTCAAACATCAGGTCGACGAGGGTCTCGATCTTCGTAAATGCGCTTTTGAGTGGTGAGTTTTGAATGAAAACTGGGGTTTATGGCTAAAGAACTGATAATTTTTGGCCAAGAAATCTCATTTCGCGGCAAAAAGTCAAGTTTTCGGTTTGAGAATGGTGAAAATTTGAGCTTAAAGAGCATAGTTTAGTCTGAAAAATTAGAGTGGTTTTTTTAGGCCTAATATCTCATTTTGCACCAAAAATGTGTAATTTTCAGCTCCAGGAAAGTTTTTCAGTCCAAGAATCCAAAAACGTTGAATTTCGATTCCAAAATGCCTTATTTCGAGCATGAAACTCTGATTTTCAGTCTAAGTGCTCCAATCTAGGGCTAAATTCAGTAATTTTACCCTAAAAACCTACAATTTTGTGACCAGAAATTCATATTTTGAATCGTAAAGCCCCTGTTTTACGTTCCAATAATCGCCGTTTTGGCTTGAAAAAATCTAATTCTGAACCCGAAAACCTCTAAAAATCGCTGAATTTTTAGCATTTTCACCCTTCTCGAGGCCTACGTACCCCAATTTTCACAAAGTCAAATTTGGAGCTCAAAATACTTGAATTCGAGCCCAAAAGCCCAGTTTTGAACCAGGAAGATCTGGACAGCTCACATAAGTTTCCTAAATCGAGCAATTGAATTTTGAGTCAAAAAGCTCTTATTGTGACACCAAAAACATTAATTTTGGAACCTAAAATGCCATATTTTAGTGAAAAACGTTTATCTTGAGCTGGATTTAGTATTTAGAACCCCAAAAACTCGTATTCAAGCCCCGGATTCTATCTTAACTCTCAAAAACCACCATAACTGCCCTCTCACACCCCCAAAACTCTCGCAACACCCCGAAAATCTGCTAAATTTCAGCATGTTCACGCTTCTCGAATCGTGTGTCGACAAGGTTGACATCGCCGAGTTCTCGACAGTGATAGAAGTGGGACTGAATGATCAGAATCACGACGTGAAACTGCTCAACTACCTGACCCTTCAAAGAGTCGCCAATCTCGCACCGGGACACGTCCTTCAGAGAATCGACAGAGTTTGTGAACCATTGAAGAGTCAGTTGATCGCTCGTCCACGTGGAAATGCCGTCAAACAGGAGGTGGAGAAGTTGGAGGAACTCAAAAAGGCCGTCATTCGTGTCGTCTTTGGATTGAAGAACAAGTTGCCGGATGTGGAGAGGAATCCACAATTCTTGGATCTCATCAATGTTATCAAACATAACAAGGATTTGGAGGTAATTTCAGATCAAAAATTCTGATTTTCAGCACAATTGGGGAAGTTGGACACAAGTTGACCCTAAAAAGTCCGAATTTGAGCTTAGAGTTCCTGGTTTTAGTAATAAAAAACACTCAATTTAAATCTGGAATTGACATATTTTAAGTCACAAACAGGGTTTTGCAAAAAATGTTTCGGTTTTTTCGGAAATTTCAGAAAAATTTATTGCCGAAAATTTTTTCGGAATCTGAAACTTTTATCGAAAAATTGGTAATTCACTGGCGATCAATGAGTAAAACTTTGGGAAAATGAAACTTTTCGGCCAATTTTGGTGATTTTTGAAGTTTTTTGTTGCATTTTGTTGAAATGGTCCAGACAGGAATAGAAAACACTCATTTCCGTTCCAAAATTTTTTTTTCGGTTTTTTTTCAGACAAAAGTTCCGAAAAAAAGATTTTTAGAAGATTTTTCGGAGATCATTTTTCGCGCAACCCTGGTCCCAAAGCCAAAAATATGTAATCCTAATAAAAACACTCAAATTTAGACCCCAGAAACTCAATTTTAGACTTGAAAACTCCTTATAAATCTCCTAATTTCCGATATCCAGGTGCTGGCGGATGATGTTCTGAAAGAGTCGCAACGTGCAGTCGTCTACGACACGCCGATGGAAACTGCATAATTCTATTCATTCGTTCCTCGTCGTTTTCTCTCTAATTTTTTGTATTTATTTCATTTGAAAAGAAATCAATTCTCTCTCATTTTTTTCCCGAGTTTCTTCCCCCCACTAAAAACCCAATTTTTTTCACCACCAAATGGAGTGTGTCTGTCCATACCTTATTTATTTGTTCTCTTCTTTCTTCTCCCCGTAATTGTTCTGGAAACATAATTTAAAGACCTATCAATATCCACCCAGTTTTATCTCTCGCTCTCGCTCGATGAATCCATTTTTTGTCATCTGAAAATCCCTTTTCAAGTTATTTTATTGATTTTCTTGGAAAACTAATTTTGAGCGCGAAACCAAGTTTCAGAAGGATTATTCCCCCAAAAAACATCCAATTATCCTATTTTCGATAGGAGATTAGTGGATTTACCCATAGAAAACTAAGCTCCGCCCTCCCCCTGGACTCCGCCTCTTTTTGTTCTACTTTATGCAATCTAGGGATTCAAACCGGTTCTTCCCTCTAGTCTCTCTTTCTCTCTAACCTGTAGCCACCACCTGTTGAAGACCTTATCACGTTTTTATGAACGTGCACATTGACCCGGTGTACTGGTTTAGTATGTTTAGTAGGGGTTGAGATGGGTACACATGTGTTGTTTACAACACCTTTTCATTTTCGCTTTTTTTTTACGTATTAGTGGTCTTTTTGCTTGCCTTTTTTGGGGGGTTTCGGGCTGGAATTGGGCATGGATTTGAGCTCACAGTTTCAGATCTGAAACAGGTCTGAAAATTTTTATCCGAAAAGTTTTCCGGAAAAAAACGGTTTTTTGGTTGTATGCTTTTATGTTTTTACAGCCTTTTCACCCATTTTTCCTGAAAAAAATTCAAAATTTTCGAAAAAAAAATAGAAAAATCATGAAAAATATTTTTCGTTTTTTTCGCCCTGAAATTTTCGAAAATAATTTTTTTCCGATTTTTTAAAGAAATTTTTTTTCGCACAGTACTGATCTGAAACCCTAGATTTCAGGCTTGCTAAACACTTTTTGGGCCTGTAAGCCCTCTTTTTTTTCAGAAAAAAAGGCATTATTCAGAAATTTCCAGTTTTCTTTAGTTTTTCCGAGGCAATTATGAGGTTCCTAGCCGTATTTAGGCTGTATTTTACACTATTTTGATGAATTTTCATTGAAAAAATGGTAAATATTCTTAAAAAGTGCAAATTTTTTCACAAAAAATCCAAAATTTTTTGAATCCGGGCTAGGGTTGTGCGAAACATGACCTCCGAAAAATTTTCGAAAATTTTTTTTCTGAAAAATTAGTCCGAGAAAAACTGGAGAAAATTATACTTCGGAATGTTCTTCGTAAAAAAAGTTAAAAATCGAAAAGATTTTTTTTCGAATCCATTTTTCAAAAATTTTTTTCGTCGAAAAATTTTTTTGGAAAATGGGCAAAAAACCGAAATTTTTTTTTTCGAAAAGTACAACTCTGATCCGTGCCTCCGGGCCGGAGCAAAATTTCACAAGTATCCTTTTTCTCTACGATTTCGGATATTCTAGACCTTCCCCAATCATTTTTAGAAGACCTTTGTCCCCTTCTTCTTTCTCTACTCTGACCTCCTCTCTCACTGACAAGTAATAAATAAGGAATTGACCGTTACAAAAAGAAGAAGAAAAAACGTGACCCATAATAGAGTAGAAGAGAGATAAGAGAACTAATAGAGGGCCACAATATAGTCTCTCTCTTTAGAATATTGCGGGAAAAAAGAGAAAGAGAGAGAGAAAGAATTGAAGAGACACAGAGAAAAAAGGGACGACGCATTCAGATAAGTAGAAGAGGAAGGGATGATGATGGTGGCCAATTTATATTGTTTTTCTATTTTGTTTCGGGAGTATGTTTCATTTTTTTTTGTTGAATTTTGCTGAAAAAACTAGGCTGAAAATGACAAATTTAGCCCTAGCCACGTTCTCTCACCCCCCCCCCTCTCCTCCTCCTCCTCGGCCCACGAAAAGCGCGCTAATATCTACACCCTCCCCTCCATTGCCATTTTGGCGCCGCGTGGCTCAGTGGCTAGCGCTGCTGTCCACCAATTTTGGGGTCTCGGGTTCAATCCCCCGTGGGGTAAAACTATTTTTTTCTTTTTTCTTTTCTATTTTCTGGGTTTCTAGGTTCGTTTTTTCAGCAAAAAATCAAAAACGAGATCAACTAACTTCTAGAAAAAGTGAAAATGCCGCACAAAAATCAAAAAAATATTTATTCAAACTCAGTTCTTCTTATTATTTTTCCGTTTTTCGTATCCCAACACACACTCAAAGGCAATCACTAAGATTATTATAAGAATCGACTGGGCTCCCAACAAGTACGACAGTATATTGATAGTGTTCTCCCTGAATTCGGAAACTTTTAGAATATTTTTTGGTTTTCCCCACCAACTTACTCGCTAGTCACGATATAATTCATGTTTTGAAGAAGCTTCGGAACAATTGAAAATCAAAAATGAAGTTGGTTTTTTTTCAGTTGAGAATGAGTTCATTTGAAATTCTAAATGTCAACGAAAACGTGTAAAAATACTCATTTGGTGTGAAATCTACTGCTATTTTCTCAAGTGCTACGGGGCGATCAAGTGCTTTTTTGGATCAGGTGCTATAGATCAAATACTGTTTTTTTCAATTTTCAATTTCTCGAGTTCTGTTTCTCAGGGGCAATAGTATATGAAGAATAGCATAGCCAAAATAGCACTTGATCATCCCGTAGCACTTGAGAAAATAGCAGTTGAGTTTTCTCAACCAAAAATTGCCTTAGAATTGTCCTCTGCGTCCTCCCCCTCCTTCCTGGTTGCGCCACGAAAAGCGCGCTAATATCTATGCCCTCTCCCCTACTCTTGATTTGGTGCCGCGTGGCGCAGTGGCTAGCGCTGCTGTCCATCAGTTTTGAGGTCCCGGGTTCGATCCCCAGTGGGGTCAAATCTTTTTTTCTTTTTTCTTTTCCAATTTTTTTGCCTCTCTATCCACTCCAATCCATTTCTAAACTCCAGAACCAAACAATGTCAACATTCTCCCGCCAGGACCAACTACCCAGCCTACCTGTGCCACCTCTTGTGGAGACACTCGAAAAGTATATCGATTCGGCGTCCGCCCTTTTGACACCCGATGAGAAATTGAGAATCACAAAAGAGGCACACGACTTTCAGCATTCTGAGTTGGGCACCCAGTTACAGCAGGCTCTCGAAAATAGGGCGAAGAATCAGAAGAATTGGGTGAGTAGTTGATGGGGGGAGATATCTGGACAAACAAACAGAAGGATAGACGAACATGGAAGGATCAGATGACCTAGAATACCAAAAACTGGAAATCTAGGCCACCTTCCCCCTCCACCTCGAAACCGCCCGTTCTTTTTGCAGCTCGAAGACTGGTGGTACAATGTGTACACAGAAATCCGTGAGCCGCTGGCCCCGTACGTCTCTTTCGGAGCTCTCAACACCGTATACAATTGTGTGGATGGTGGACAAGTGTCCCGAGCAGCTGATGTCTTGCACCATTGGCTCAGTGTTTGGGATAAGATTAGGCAGTGAGTTTTTTGGTTGCGTGGTGGCCTCGAAAATGCGAAAACTAGGCCATCATCTTTCTCTTTTTCTCCCTTGTTACTTGAAGCCTCCCCCACCTCTCCCTCTCTCTCTCACCGCCGCAAAAACCTCGCGCACCTCTACGCCCTCCCCTCCCGTTTCTCTTTGGGGCGCGCATGGCGCAGTGGCTAACACTGCTGCCTGCCGATTTTGAGGTCGCGGGTTCGATCCCCATTGGGGTCAATTCTTTTTTTCTTTTTTTCTTTTCTATTCTGATGCTTCTAATCAAATTTTTCTAGCGGAAAATGGCCAATAACCTCATCGCGTGGCGTCACCTGGGATATGAATCAATTCCACCACTTGTTCTCATCGAATCGAACACCACAAAAGCCCAGGGACACCATGGATCGGTTTTTTAAGACTAGTGAGTTTTCCGAGTTTTCCAAAAAATTTTATCAGTACCAACAGACTGTTTAGAGACTATAAAATGACGGAGAGAAGGTGTGAAAATATAGTCTTGATAAGAAATTTTATTGAATTTTTATGATTGCACTTTTGGAATTTGGACTATGGACTTTAGAGGTATTTAGTGATGAAAAACTGGGGGGGGGGGGTGTCACTGTCAAAGTGAGGGAAAAGTAAATGCGCTCCATTGATAATAGGGCTCCGTGCCATTTCGAAACCCGACATCTCGAAACCGTGGAAAATTAGGTTCGAAATTTTCAAATTTTTTGACTCGATCTCAATCGATTTTCTGAAAAATTAGAGCAAAATAAAAATTCAAAATTTTTTCTTGAAAAAAAAAATTTGACCGAAAAAAAATTTTCGAAAAAAAAATTTTCGAAAAAAAAATTTCCGAAAAAAAATTTTTTCAAAAAATTTTTTTTTGAAATTTTATTTTGTTCTAATTTTTCGGAAAATCGATCAAAATCGAGTCAAAAAATTTCGAAAAAAGCCCCGAAAACTGGGGTGTCTAAACTGCCAAAGTAAGGGAATAGCAAATGCGCTCCATTGATAATTTGTTTTCAGAAGAGGAGGGAGACACGCCCACTCATGTGATCATTTGTTGTAATGGATGTTTTTGGAAGCTGAATATTCTAAACGAGGATGATGACACCATTAAGACGCCCGATGAGCTTTATAATGTGAGTCTGTCTGTGTGTCCGGGATGTCTGGATGTCCAGGATGTCTGTCTAGATTGCGGTCGGTCTAGATGTCTGTCTGTCTGTCTAGATGTCTGGATGTCCAGATGTCTGTATGTCTGTCTAGATGTCTGTCTGTCTGTCTGTCTAGATGTCTGTCTGTCTATCTGTCTGTCTGTCCAGACGTCTGTCTGTCTAGATGTCTGTCTGCCTGTCTAGATGTCTGTCTGTCTAGATGTCTGTCTGTATGTCTGTCTGCCCGGATGTCTGTCCAGATGTCTGTCTGTCCAGATGTCCGTTTTTTGCAGATGCTTAAATTCGTCAGCGACAACTCCCCGGATGAGTCTTCCAGATGTGTGAGCAAGCTCACCACCACCCACCGAGATATTTGGACTACGGTAGGTCAAATTTTGAATTGTCAGTAGAGCGCATTTGCATTTTTTTCCAGAACCGTGACGAATTGCAACGTGTCTGTGACCCAAATATGGCTTCATTGAAAGATGTGGAGACGAGTATTCTATTCATGTCTCTGGTCCCAAAAAAAGGTGGAAATGATCAGCAGAAGGTGAACAGACATCCGGATAAACAGACAGACATACTTTTTTTCAGCTAATGGCAAATGCTCTTCAAGACGAGAGTTGGTATGTGTGGCAGGATAAATCAGTCAGTATTACCGTATACCAGGATGCGCAGGTTATGGTTCAGGGAGATGTGAGTTACTGTAGGAGGATTACTGTAGTGAAGTATTGAGGGGTACTGTAGTTTCCGAGAATTGGGTTACGGTAGTCAGGATAGGATTGGTCAAGAAATACCGTAGATTGGGCTCCGCGACATTTCGAAACCATTGAAAATTAGGCTTGAAATTTTCGAATTTTTTGACTCGTTTTTATTCGATTTTCTGGAAAATTAGAACAAAATAGAATCTGGAAATTTTTTGGAAAATTGATTTTTCAAAAAAAAAAACTGAAATTTTATTTTGATCTAATTTTCAAGAAAATCGATTAAAATAGTGTTCCTAAATCAAGATGTTTAGAAAGATCCTAGATAACTCTCGATTTTCTCAGTAGTACTATACCTTGATCCAGGATTACATGTAGCTGAGAGAGACTAACCCCCCCCCCCCCCCCTCCTTTCCCTGCGCACCTCTACGCCTTCTCTTCCGTCTCCCTTGCGGCGCTCGCGGCGCAGTGGCTAACACTGCCGCCTGACGTTTTGAGGGACCCTAGCTCGATTCCACATAAGAACAAATTCCTTTTTCTTTCTTTTTTTCTCCTTTGCCGTCGTTTTCAGCGCTCCAAAAAACACAAAAACGAATAGTTCCTTTCCTGGGAGATCAATTATTTATTTTTTTAACGATTCCCTCTTCTTTCAGCACTCAAACATCGACGCAATTGTCCTCCTTCAAGTCGGTGACTATGCGGCCTCTCGAGTCAGAAAACAGCTCTGGCATCCGGCGAAAACTGGATCAGATGCTCATTTTGAGTTCCCGGAGCGACTGGTTTTTGAACTCAATGAGCATTTGAAATATACCATCTCACAGGCTGATGTGGACTTTTATAAGAGTGTAAGTGGGGGGACATCCGGATGTACAGACAGATGGACAGACGGAAGTTGGGATTTTCGGGTGTCTAGATATCCGGACAGACAGACAGACAGAGTGGCAGACATCTGGACACACAGACATACATACAGACAGACATCCGGACAGACAGACATCTGGACAGGCAGACAGACATCCGGACATACATACAGACAGACATCCGGACATACAGACGGACAGACATCCAGACAGACAGATATACAGACAGACAAACATATGGACAGACAGACATCTAGGCATACAGGCATCTGGACAGACATACAGACATCTGGACAGACATACAGGCATAAGGACAGATATCCGGACAGACAGACATTTGGACATACAGACATTTGGACAGACAGACAGACAAACATCCGGACAGACAGACATCCGGACAGACATACAGACATCTGGACAGAGAGACAGACATTTGGACAGACAGAAAGACGTTTGGACAGACAGACAGACATCCGGATAGACAGACAACTGGACAGACAGACATCTGGACAGACAGACAGACATCCGGACAGACAGACAACTGGACAGACAGACATCTGGACAGACAGACAGACATCTGGACAGACAGACAGACATCCGGACAGACAGACAACTGGACAGACAGACATCTGGACAGACAGACAGACATCTGGACAGACAGACAACTGGACAGACAGACATCTGGACAGACAGACAGACATCTGGACAGACAGACAGACATCCGGACAGACAGACAACTGGACAGACAGACATCTGGACAGACAGACAGACATCTCGACAGACATCCGGACAGACAGACATCCGGACAGACAGACAACCGGACAGACCCAATTTTTTTTCAGAAAAAACTCTACCGCGCCCGTCCCGTCCACTTCTACGGTTACGGTAATGACCAGTGTCGGACTGCAAAAGTGTACACGGATACTGTAGTTCAAATCGCGTTACAGCTCGCTTTTTTGAAGACTCACGGAAGGTACAGTAACCCGGAAAATGGGGGCGAGGTCTAATTTGAACCTTTTTTTAGTTTCGCGCCAATTTACGAGACGGCCTCGACGCGAAAGTTCTTCCACAGCCGTACGGAGACAGTCCGTGGATGTACACAACAGTTTGTGAGATTTGCTAAGGCTCTGACCGAGGAGAAGAAGGTACGGTAGAACGACGGAGAGGGGCGGAGCTTAGAGGGGGGCTAGGCTAGGTCCTTAACTACAGTAAGATACAGTAACCCTTAGCTACAGTATCCCTCAGCTACAATATCCCGTTCCTAGATACAGTAATCCATAGCTACAGTACCCCAATCCTGAATACATTATCCCTTATCTACAGTAATCCATTTCTAGATACAGTAACCCGATCCTAGATACAGTAGCCCTTAACTACAGTAACCCGATCTTGGATACAGTATCCCTCAGCTACAGTAACCCGTTTCTAGATACAGTACCCCTTAACTACAGTACCCCTTAGCTACAGTAACCCGTTTCTAGATACAGTAACCTAATCCTAGATACCGTAACCCAATCCTAGATACAGTAACCCGATTTTAGATACAGTACGCTTTAGCTACAGTACCTCTTCTCTACAATATCCCTTAGCTACAGTAACCTACAGTACCCCAGACCTACCGTACCCCACCGTACCCATCCAATTTCCAGACCGAAAAAGAGGATCTCAAAAAGCTGTTTGACGCCGCCCTCAACGCCCACAACCAACTGATGGCCGATTGTATGGATGGAAGAGGTGGCCTAGAAAACCAAAAATCGAAAACTAGTCCCCCAGTTTTCAGGTTTCGATCGACACCTGTTGGGTCTCAAAACGGCATTGTCCATCATGAATAAGGGGTGTGGACCGAAACGGGCGGCTCCCGCGTTTTTGACAGATGACACGTGGAAAAGGACGGGAGGAGATGGGAACTTCTTGTTGTCCACCAGGTACAGTAATTCTTGGCTACAGTAACCCAAACTACAGTAACCTGAAATACAGTAATCCTAGATATAGATACCGTAACCTGGATACAGTACACCCAAACTACAGTAATCCTTCACTATCACCACAGCTACAGTAATCCTAGATTTGGCTACAGTAACCCGACCCGTAGCTACAGTAATCCTACGAAACTACAGTAACCACCTGATCCTAGATAACGATCTCTCTCTCTCTAGCTACAGTATCCCTACAGTATACCGTGAAGGATCAAGCTACAGTAATCCTGGGTACAGTAATCTTAACAATCTACAGTAGCCGACTGATCCTAGATATGGGTCTATATCTCTCTAGCTACAGTAACCCTACAGTATCCCGTGAGAGATCAGTCCTGGGTAGCTACAGTAATCCTGAGCAGATACAGTAACCCGATCATGAATACAGTATCCTGAATATAGGTACAGTAACCCTACAGTATCCCGTAGAGAATGAAGTTACAGTAATCCTGGGTCTAGGTACCGTAACCTTTCGACTACAGTAATCCATTCTAGACTTCTCGAGCCCAGATACAGTAATCCCATCTAGCTACAGTAACCCTACAGTAA